AAAATATTTATTATTATTTTATTAAAAATATTTAAATAATTTTAATAATATTTAAATAATTTTTTTTATACCCACAGGGTTTTTTAACTAGTTAAATTTATAAAATATTTTATTAATATTAATAAAACTAATAAAGAAAATTTTATTAATTTTTTTTAATTCTTTTAAATACACCACGTGTTGGCTAAAATAAATTAAAAAAAAATTATAATTTTATTTTTATTTATAATATATTTTTATTTTTATACTTTAAATATCTAATATAAAGTCTTTAATTTAAATTATTATATTTTAATACTTCATCTATAGTAATTTTAATATAATATTATATTTATAGATCTATAGTAGAATATATAAATATATATCTTTTTATAGATTTTTATTAATATTTAAAAATATTATAATTAATTTAATTATATAAGCTAATCTTCCTTTAAATCTTTTAATATTTTAAAATTTAATTAATATATACTTTAATTTATATCTAATTATAAATTTTTTATTAATTATTCTATATAAAAAATAATTAGTATCTATAAAGATTTTTATATAATAAATTTTATTAATTAATTTTAATATAAAAAAAGTCTAATAGTCTTTAAAATCTTAAATTTTTTTTTAAATTTTTTATAATTAGTATTAACTAGTACATATTCTTTTAAATAATAATTTAAAAAAATTAAATATTTTCTAAAATTTAAATAATTAAGACTGTTTAAAATTATTAGATTTTTTAAATCTAAATAATATTCTTTATAAAATTATTTTTTAATATAATTTAAAATATTTTTTTTAGTGATTTTCTAAGATATTTAAAAATATTATATAAATAAATTAAAATAATTAATAACATAGTGTTTAAAAATTTTTTAATATAAATAAAATTTAAATTTTTAATACTTTATTATTTTTTTTTAATATTTATTATTAAAAACTTCTAGTTTATAATAATATTATTAAAGACTTATTTTTTAATTATATTTTTAATCTAAATATTAATATATTTTAATTAATTTTTTTAAAATTTATTTATTTTTATTAATTTATTTATTACTAGTTTTACTTGGTGGTAGAAGTTTTTAAAATCTAGTTTTTATTTTATATTTATTATTTATTAGTAAATATTATTATTAAAAATTTAATATAATAAGTTTTTTTTATTAAAATTATTTTAACCATAATTTCCAGCCTTAATTAGTAAGTTATTAATTTTTATAATAAAATTATTAATTATATAAACTTTTTATTTAAAAATAAATAATTTATTAATTATTTTTTTTAGATGGGGTCCTTATAGATAAATTTAAAATAATTAATAATAATATTAGTTATAAACTCTGTAATCTTATATATAATATTAATTTATAGATTAATCTTTATTTTAATTTTTTTATTAAAAAATAAAAAAATATACTAAACTTAATTATTTAAATTATTAATAAATTTTTAATTAATTTTAATTTTTATTTAAATATTATTAAGCCATTCTAGAAACTTATTTTTATTTTTTCTATTAAAAAATATAAAAATAAGATGTTTAGACTTTTTTATACTTTTAAATTTTTTAAAGAAGACTAGATAGGATATATAAAATATTAATAAAAATATTTAAAAAAATAGAATCTAATTATTAATAAATTTTTTAATATATTTAAAACTAGTTCTAATTTTATTATTAGTTATATTATCTTATTATATAATAATATATTATATTTTTATATTCTATATTAATAGTTTTTAGATTTATTTTATTAATTAATTAATAAGCTTATTCTAGGATAGATTTTTATAATTATTTAATATATTAATTATTAATTCTTTATTATTTCTAGCTATTATCTCTATTCTAATATTATAATAAAAAAAAATAAATTAAAATTATAAAAAATTAAAAAGTTATAATAAGTTAAATATAAAATCTAGTTTAAAAAAATTAATTTATTAAAGAAAAAAGATTATTTAGTATAAATAAAATTTAATTATTTATTTTTTTTTAATTATTTTATAATTATTTTTTTATATTCCTTATAGAGAATTTCTTTAAAGATTCTTTATTTTATTAGATTCTTCTAGTATAGTCTCAGAACTAGATAAACTAGAATATATAATATTCCAGTTCTAAATAGCTGACTGGGCTTAGCCCTTTTCAGACGAGTAAGAGTTTAAAAAAAATAAAAATAAAACTAAATAACTTTCTTAATTAGATAATGTCAAAGCTCATAACCAGTAGAGCAAAATGATATATCACTGCCATCTGGGAAACAGATGGAGAGATAAGATGTCCTAACACAGTGAAAAGGGCTAAGCCCAGTCAGCTATTCAGAACTAGAACATTATATATTCTAGCCTGTCTAGTTCTAAGACTACACTGGAAGAAGCTAATAGAATAAAGATTTTTTAAAAAAATTTTCCATGAAAGATATAAAAGAGTAATAATAAAATAATTAAAAAAAAATAAATAATTAAATCTTATTTATATTAGATAATCTTTCTTTTTTAATGAATTAATTTTTTTTAAACTAAACTTTATATTTAATTTATTATAATTTTTTATTTTTTTATAATTTTAATTTATTTTTCTTTTTATTATAATATTAGAATAGAAATAATAGTTAAAAATAATAAAAAATTAATAATTAATATATTAAATAATTATAAAAATCTATTCTAGAAT